ATAACACTTTAATTTGAACACCCGGTATTCTTTTAATTATTATTATTATAATGTTTTTTACATTGGGAATTTATTGTATTTTGCAAAGCAATAGCCTTACTGTTAATAATCGATACTTATATATACTGCGTCTATACCTTCAATAAATAGTTCATATTTTCTTATTTTTAATTTTCCTCAAAAAAATACAAAAATAAACCATAGCGTATAAATCAATAATCCCTGAATAAAATAATATGAGAGAGTCAAACTGATTGCATACATTTTAGCACAGAGAGAAGAAAGAGAGTCGAGAAGCTTTACCTTCAATGTTTGCTTTCTAGTTAAACCATGATATAACTAATTGTTTATTGCTATATTTTTGTTAATATAAAAGAAAAAAATATGGGGAAAGCACTGTTACTTTGATAATACATAGGCGAAACTTTTATGAAGAATAGTTTTTTCTCATTTAGGCCTTTGTTTTTCGTCAAATGAGAGGTATATTTCTAAAAAAAGATTTTTTATACAAATTTGTGGACGGTTGAAACCGAGATATTGACGTTTAAATTTTTTTTCGACCATAAGGGCTAATGCAAATGATTTTTTTTAAATAATTATAAAAAACACTTCCTACAAAGACCTAATTGTGCATTAGAACAAAAAAATAAGCAATTTTTTTTTCTATATGGTGGTATCAATAACTCGATTTTTTATGATAGTGCCCTTTTGCACTGTCTAATTTTGTATTACCTCCGGAATAAGGGTAAGCTTATCATGTACTTTCATCCCTGAAAAATTCAGCTGGTGACACCGAAGTGGGAGGCAAAGTCAAACAAATTTTAATTTATACCATATAAAAGCCCGTACCTGTGAGTTTAGAAGAAGACATTTTTATTCGCAGATGCGAAAATGGAGAACGTATATTTGTTACTTAGTTGCTAACTAGAGGCAGCACCTCTCGGATAACTTTATTTTGTCTCTCTCTGGGAGGACTTGTTCAGACTTCTCTGTTCCAATGCAAGCCCTTAAATCTATTTTTGTAACTTATCAAAATCAAATTATCCGAAAAGATATTTCAAAACTTCATACACAGATTCAATAACATAAGTTTAGAAGGTACAAATAAATCTGATATGATTACAACCTGTAAAAAAAATTATCCAAATAATAAATAGTCAACATTCTTTCTCTTCTCAATATTTCAAAAAGAACGAAATAATTTAAGTTGAACAGTTAAAGTGTAAATGGAGTGATCCATAGTATGTATCGAACTTGAATAAACGATCGGGATCGGAATAGTGTAGTGACTTAGACAGCTGACAGATGCTATTTGGTGTAATCTTAGAACATATATATTTAGGAAGGAGCATGCAATGTCCGCATTAATCTAATCAATTTCACGGAAGTGTAGCCATGTTGTACTATGGATGACTCATTATCATATGATAAATGGTTTCTAAAATTGGTTTATAATTTAAGTGAATAAAATTTGTTAATAATTTTATTGTTTTATGTGTTAATTTAAACTTTTATCAAACGTATGTTTCGTAGACATTTTTCAAAAGTGTTTAGTGTTTTAGTATTTATTTAATATTACTGTTAATTTTAAATTTTCCGCGTTAAAAGACAAACAAGACAACATGGTCAGTTATTCGTCTTGTGGATATAGCAGCACAGCTAAAAGTAGAAAGGAATAATCTACATTTTATAAGCAAGTATTTTGTTCTCTCAATTTTAAACCACATTAAAGATTTTTAAAATTTCTAATGTTTTAAATTTGTAAACAAACATCGTAAGTGCGTCTGCGATCAACTGTACTCATAGGCGTAGTCTCATGGTTTATAGTGTATACATACTTTTATTTAAACAGTTCTTTTATGCAGTTTTAAGATATTTATGTGGTTGTTAAAATGAATAAATTATTGTTCAATTTAGATTTATAAATTTATTGCCAGTAAACAATTTTCAGATTTCTTAAAGATTCTTAATTTACAAATTATATAAATTAATCTCAGGTAGACAATTTTCAGATTTCCTAAATATTCTCAAAAAACAAAGTTATGGCTTGAGTTCATGCAACAAACAAATTGTGAGCCAAAATATCTTAATTTTTTGTGTTCACGTCATTTTAAAGCAGATTGTTTTGATCGAACCTCAAAACCAAGAATAAGGCTTCTACCAACAGCTGTTCCAACAATAAAAATGGTCCGGTTGAAGTATATAAGTAAATAAATTATTTACTTACTATATCATGTGCCGTTTTTTTCTTATAATAGAAGTATATTGTATGAATGTGATGCACCCTATATAATTTATTACAAAGTTATTTACAAAAATGAACACACATAGAATTATTAATATCTCAAGTAAGCATATCGCATGCCTCAAGATACTGTCTTAGGTCCTATCTTGTTTAATTTATTTTAAATAATTTGTCGATTAAATATAGATGGAAATATTGTTTTTCAGATGACACAGGTATTCTGTAAAATGCAGAGAACTGGAATTGATTAAAATTATTAATAGAAACAGATCTTATAAATTTTTTCGAATGGTTTAATTATAAAAACTTACGAACCTTTGATAAAACTTATGTTGTTCCATTACACAGTCATAAAAAAACGGCATCTTCCTATAGAAACAATAAACAGTAACGTTCAGTAGTTTCATATAAGTGTTACAAATGATATCAAATACCTTAGAGTACAAATTGACTCTCATCAAAACTGGACTAAGCATAAAAATAATGCGTTGAATGTACATTTAAAAATAATCTATTTTGCACTCATAGAATCATTATTACGTTATAGGATCCATTCTTGGAAAGGTGTTTTACCTGCTTATGCAAAATTGTCATGCAAAAAATATTACTAATAATATTATGTAATAAAATGATCAGAAATTCTCTTTGATCTATATGTACTTCAACAAAAACATCTAAGAAAGAAATATCACAGCGGTGTTTGACCTAAATATAAGTATAGGATATTTAATTTTTTTTAACGCATATCTACAAAACATATTTATTTTTCAAACCTTAATAATTTGTAAAATGTAGATTAATAAAGACGTAAAAAAGTCAAGTTTTCCCAAAAATATTTTTCTATATTTATCCCACCCAACATGCAATTTTAAAGTAAAATTTATTCACATAATGAAGGTTAATAAAAAAAATGCAAACTTCTCGCAAGAAAATAGCAATTCGTTAAAATGAGAAAAATCGGTAAATTTAGATAATATTTAAATGAGAATTTATTATTTTTTTTTCTACGCCCCTTTATGACAGTACATCACTGGTAGATCGGAAACACTTGTCGCCATATTCGCGATTCTAAGGTCGTTAAGGATTCCTCCTTCCTGACTATATATATTCTAAGGGTGTAATGATTTTATATTTGACAAGTCGCAATATAAGTAGAGTCAACGATAGTATTGGAGAAATCCAAAATAAATCCTAATGGAACAACTGATGAGAATCAAGAAATGTATAAAAGCCTACTATTTTACTCATTAATCCTATTGCCTTTTAATTGTGCCACACTGTGGCATACATCAAAATTTGAAAACTGTGGAGATCTTCAGACTGGGATGGTAGGTACTTATATACAAAATACATATGAAGGGTACAGTGAAAAACCCCGTTAGTCAAATACAGCTGATTGCGGGAAAACCACTTTTGAATGTTTTCCATTTCATGGAGGGTTTTGAAAAAGAACACAATAGCATCAAATTAAATCAGTATCTTATATTTTGAAGAAAATGAATAAAATGAACATATTTTTACACAATAATCACTTTTCTTCAGGTAATTTCTCGTCCATCGGGGGGTCGTCAGCGATTTCCTCATCACTTTCTCCATTGAGAACTTTGTCTGAAGTTAAATTTTGGTAGAAAATTGTTGCCTCTAAACTTTCCAAGAACTGACATAAATGGAGGAGATCGCGATGTTTTGCAGCTTTTATTGGAAGTTTTCCTCTATACAAATTTTCCAGTGGCTTAACAGGAGCGAAAGAGTTCTTGGTGTTTTTCCTCTGTGGTTTTGTATTCCCTTGAAGTGCTGAAGATGTATACATGCCAAAAAAAGATTGTTTATAAAACACAAGATCTCTTCCAGTTGCTGAAAATTTCAACATTCGAATTGGTCTGGTGGGAAATGGGCATTTTTTTGGGTAAAGTGACGAGAGGTGATCAGTCCAGTTTTGAAAAGTCACATCCACTCCACAACCAATCACAGTAAATGGAGTGGGTTTCACTCGAGTATTCCTCAAGACCTCCCTTCAATCGTCTGAAACCTCTGTGTATGAGTTTTGTTTAACTATGCTCATATTACGATTACACTCTAAGTAAGAGTAGCCCCTTATCGGAAATATGACCTTAATGGTGTCAAAACGTCCTTCTCTTGTAACCAGATGGTGTAAAAACCTGATGAAGGTATAATTCTTATTTTGGCCCGCACACGAGTCACAAAATATACACAGTTCACGTACTTCCAGAGGCAAAATATTAAATACAAAATGTCGAAACATAGAGCATACGTCATCTGCACCCTTTTTCGCCACAGATTCATCATAAGTGTAAAAACTGCCTGCTGCGTTGAGAGTATGTGAACGTTGAAACTAATGAAGTTCAGTTGGCGTCGGTAGTACACATCATTAGTGGTGATATTGGGACATGGTAATTTTTTTGAAAGTCCATCGCGATGGCTTCCATCGTTGAAGATTTCATGAAACGTTTGCGGTATCCTTTTTTTAATTTATAGAAACGCTCACCCCTCTTTTGATGTACGTCTCTCTCCTTCAGTTTTACTAGCAGATTTCTTGTCTTTTCCAGGTTGATAGCATGGTCGGTTTTAAGTTTTTCCTTAAGCGCTGAAATCTGTGCTTTAAACGAATCGCATGAACTGCGTGGGTAGCCAAATGAAAAATTAAAGTTGCTCTCAAAAATCCCTCTAAATGATTCATAGGACAATTTATGTTCTGGATTGTGAGATAAATACATGGTGTGTAGCTTTGAAATATTTAACTCAGCAGGTAGGTATATTTTTTGGTATCTTTCAATGAATAATGCGATTTTCTTCCTTTAAGAGATTTCAAGAAGCTGATTACTTTTTCCATGGTCTCATGTGAAAGTTTGTGGGGTGTATTGGAATGTTTTCCACGACGGTCATTAGGAGATGTTCCAGTAGCAAGGAGACCCCCTCTTATGTGCCTAACTTTATCTTCAGTGATACCATGTAGCGACATGAATGCTTTTAAGCATACCTGAACATCACATGAAACATTGTCTTTTATCCCACGAACTCTATATGAAAATGAAGCAGCGGTATGTCTAGAGTCAGCATTTCTTGGCCGTCTTTGCTTCACCGGTAACAAAGTGATGAGGCCACCCAAATAAGAGTTTTGTTTAGCTTTGTCTCCCAGCAAATTGAATTCCCGAACAATTCGTTTACGATCCTCTTCTGGAACATTTTGAAAGCATTTAAGCCGTTTGCCAGAACAATCCGCGCCAAGCTCGTAAGTACCGGCTCGTAAACGTTTCATAACATCCTTGGCTCTACCAGTTTTTTTTTCGCTTCTTACTTGTGGATATATTGAAGAATACATCGCCTTCACTGCCACTATCCGAGTACTCACTTTCCATAGTTTTGAAACACATTTAACGATCGAGGACAAAACGATAAATAAGAGAGGTAACAGGCTTGCAAAGCTGGCCGCTAGAAGTGCCGTTATTATTGACTCATGGGGTTTTTCCATACACGCCCACTGATTGACGGGATTTTCCCCAGTACCGCCTATTTTCAAACATATAATTCAACAGACTAACGGGGTTTTGAATAAACGATGATAGGCCATTCGAATAGTACATTTTAGCAACCGCTTGATGGCACCATTATTCCGTTTCCATGAAAAATTGACTGACGGGTTATTTTCCCAGTACCCTTCATATATTAAAATACTATGCTTGGCCTAAGGCCCAAAGATGTTTTTAATATTGTGATTGACCTTCTCAACAGCTCTATCATATTAATTTTTAGCTTATTTGGTTATAAACCGATATAAATCTTGCCGAAAGAACTCAATAAACATTTTATGATATACTGCAATATTATATTGTAGTAATCAACTTCTGTTTATGATTAAAATATTTGAGGCAATTTACCGTTAAGCCTGTCCTAGAAAAATTATTTGGTCCTTTAAACGCCCGAATACACATATTAGGGTACTATGCCATTTTGATTCCAATATCAAATTCAGATATGAGCTCCTTCTGGAATTCGTTAAACGCCCTGTAAAAACATTGTTACTTTACAATCCTGTGATGTTATATGTTTTCAATGCAATTTATACCGCAAAAGGATCTTTGTAGAAATCAAATTTTAAAAAGTATCTTTAACATTTGAACAAATAACAGCCTAAGCCGGCTCTGATCAACATGTTGGCCGACGATTCAAGAGGTTGCCAGATCATTGCGCTTTCTAGATTATCTTGCAACAAACTATACAATAAGGTAGCAAATCACTTGGCCTCTGGGACATGAGCTACTTAAATAAGTTGGGTTAATATTACTCAAATCAGGGAAAAATAATTCTTTTCCTATAACAAAGGTTATAAAATTGATAGAATTACATGTGAATGTTATCAAATTAACGTTTATGTGTTAATTAATTAAATTATAATTATCTACTTCAAAAGCCAGAGTTTCAGTAGGCTGGGTTAAAATTCTTCAAATAAAAAAAAAAAAAAATATTTTCCTGAAAAAAAAAAAAACTATGAAATCGATGGAGAAACATATAAACTTTATCACCTTGCAATCCATATGTTAAATAATTATTAAACTGCTTTCATTTTTAAAATTATGCTTTAATAATTTCAATGACCCCTGTGTTATTCCTATTTTGAGGTCTGAGTATGCGCAGATCATTTAAGTTCTAGAACTGACTTTAATAAAGTTAGTGCCTGACCTTAATAATTGTGAATCTTGATTGGCAGAAAATAGTAGCGACTTTATTAGCTTTCGAGTGCTTTCGCCAACATTCGTATCAGTTCAACACTATCAAATATTTAATATATAATACCATCACCTAAAATTTTTAGAAATGGAAATTTCTAATGCGTCTTCCATATTATCTATTATTATAAACACCAACAAAGATGAACCAGATTTAATGTTTTTAAAATTAAGGACTCAAATGTCAATACATCAGGTTTTATTTTAGCATATAATTTAATTGCCTCTAATTACGTTGTCACTATTAGTGGGTGACGTTACAGAAATTTACAATATCTCTCAATTATCTCTACATATGTTGTAACTATATCCCAGAATGTTGCAAGAACTACTTAATATCTTTTTGCCCCCGTATTAAATACCAGTTATTTTCTAATCAGATTCTGTAATCAGTTGTTTGAAATAAAATGTTTCAGCATTTTTGAGCAACGTATTCTTTTTCTTTTTTAACAAAGCGCATTACCACTTTGAGAACTTTAGTTCTTCTTTGAAAATAAAATGTAAAGACGATAAATGAGGGCTGCAATCAATACCGTTTGCTTTTTGTTCTTTTATTTTCAGTCGAATCGTTATACCACAAATATCAGCTAAGTGTTCCTTTTTTAAAATCTGAGTTATCGACAGAAAACAAATTAATTGAAGCTTCCAGGTTTTATATTTAAACCTGGGATGCCCTAATTTAAATCGTTTTTTTTTCTATTGTGAATCTTATGGGACTGATTTGGTGTGTTTGTATACCGCATTTTATTTTCTTTTTTATATTCTAAAGATATACCGTAATTTAAATTGTTTTTTGTTAATAAGATACGTACAGTGGGCTTCTAAAGACCCCATGTAATCGTTATACAGTTAAATGTACGTGTAAATTATTAAAATACATTTGGGAATACTTTAATAAACTAATAAACAGTTAGGCTTTCTATTGCAGTGTACTTAATTTCTTTATTTGGACAGAAATTGTTTTTGATATTATTTATTTTATGTCTGGTCAATTTTATCGGAATTTTTAATTGTTAGAATTTTCCAGAATAAAATTTCATTTTAGTTCAAGATATTGTCTTTAATTCTAGGTATGCTTTACATATATAATAGCTGAAATAATCATCAATGATGTCTTCACAAATGTAAAAATAGCTAATAATACAGTACTAACTATAAACTCTATTTACACCAAAGTAAAGGACAAAACACCATTAAAAAGCTTATGTAATGTTGTTTATCAGATTCCTTGCAAAGATTGTGATAAAGTATACATTGGTGAAACATCTAGATCACTAGGTAACAGAATAATCTCTCACAGAAGTGACGCACGGTTACACCCTGAAAGGTGCTCTTTAGCTGAACATGTTAACAGTTTAGACCACAGAATGGACTATAATGCATCTAAGATTCTTGACACAGAATCCAATTATACCAAAAGACTCTTCTTAGAAATGGCTTGGATATACCAAAATCAAAATTGTATTAATAAAAGGACGGACATAAAACATCTAAGTGCTATTTACTCATACTTACTCAACACCAATACAACTCTTCATCACAATAATAGTGACAGTATTATTGCAGATGAAATCTAATTTTTTAAATGACCACCTTTTATGATACAAGTCTGATTAAAAAACTTTTAATATTCAACCTTTCATCATAACAATGGTGACAGTATTGTTTTTGGTGAAATAATTTACAACATCCTTTCATTCATCACAACAATTAGTGACAGTTTTGTTGATGATGAAATAATTAATCAAACTGCATTCTCAGATAAAACATTATTAAATAATAATTTAGGTACAAAGTAATCTTCCTAACTAGGTTCCTTATTAGTAATTTCTATATTTAATCTAACACACTTGTATACATAAACAACGAATGACACAAAATTTGACATAACAGTTAAATTTCAAACTGAATTTTAACCACAATAATTTTAAGTTATATTGTAAAACTGTGTAATTATAATTCTATATGTGCATCAAAATCATAACATTTAACATATTTAACATCATTAATAATTCATCCTCGCAAAGATGTAAATAACTCACTCTCTTAATAATATTATGTTCCTATGAAGACACACCACACCTTTTGTAGATTCCCTGAAGATGGAAATAAGTTATTAAATTTCCGAAAGCTTGGATCATCTTTAAAGAGTTTTCTTTATTACATATTGCTGCTGCCCCCAATAAATTAGTTTGAATTTTAAATTATATATATATATATATATATATATATATATATATATATATATATATATATATATAAATTAGAATAGTATTGTTATAAAATAAATAATTGTTCAAATAAATTATTAACAAATAAACTCTTAATTAAAATAAACAAACGTAACAATAATAAATTAATTTTCATTATAGGTGGCTAATTATTTATTTAAAGTAACGTCCGTTAGTGCATAAAGCGACACATTTATTTTAATAGAACTAGAAACGTCGTTTTCGAACCTTTTTACAAACAGATTGCATAAAACCAGATTTTAAATAAATAGTTTAAATAACCTTTTTATGCTTGAAAATCACAAGACAATTTTTTTTTTCTCTGGTGTAAGAATATCATATTCTTGCACGCAAAATCGCTGAAGAATGAAGCTCATTCTTCAACGATTTTCAGTAACATTTAGTGACGTTCAGTAGTACGTTAATTACACAAAACTTATCAGTATCTTTTGGTTGGCATTCACTACTATGGGCAAGTTCGAGATGCCGCCCTATGGTAGTAACATCTCGAACGCGTGCTGTCAATCAGAGTAAAAAACATAACCTCAATCCAGTATGTCAGTCAACGGTCAATTAATTATTATGCAATACAATAGAATAACATAATTTACTTATAACATTTTATAGGGGGTTAAAAAATTTAAAATTAAAATATTACCTAGCACAAACCCACAGAACAATAATATGTGCCAATCATCTGAGTCCATACTCAGAGTCATATCGAACGCGACAGATCACACTCCGAATCTCTAAAAAAAAAAACATGAAAATGAACTCAGAGCAACCTGACTTTCTACTCGACCTCACGGTATGAAGACTAGAGAGAAGGAGGAGAATCGACCATGGAAAAGTTTCAAATTTCCGTCCTTCTTTGACTATTGACTGTAGTTGGCAGCTCGAACGTTAATGACGTTAATTTTCTAAGTCAATGTGAAATAAAGTGTATTCTAAATTAGTGAAAATAATCAAAATAATGCGAAAAAAGTACCTGACTATAAATATTTTTATTTTTTGTGTTTTTCTATTTTTATTTATTTTTATTTATTTTTATTTATTTTTATTTATTTTTATTTATTTTTATTTATTTTTATTTATTTTTATTTATTTTTATTTATTTTTCATCGCCGTTTTCGCCCTTATAATGTGAAAATACAAAATCCTGAAACATGTCTATATTTATTCATGATTAGTAGTTACAATTCCAATTTTCAAGTTTCCATACCTTTAAAAATTCGACTAGCATACAAAGTTTCACCTTTCGTTTCTCCTTTTAAAGTGTAAAAATCCAAAAACCTTGAATTACATTATTATTTATTTATGATGAGTAGCTATAATTATAATTTTTTAATTTCAAAGGTGATTGC